TAGATATTTCTGAATCTTGTTTTGGCCAGGCCAGAGGAAAATTTAAGAAATATTGGTATCGATATCTCAATAAAATATACTATCTAAAAAATACTTATTCAACAGACGTAAAAAAATCAATAAATAAAAAAAAATTAAAATTGTTTTTGTAATAAAATGCAGANTAAAAAAAATTAAAATTGTTTTTGTAATAAAATGCAGAGTGTTTAAAATCTTTTACAAGTAAGATCAGTCTTAGATTTTGTGTAATTAAATCATCTTATTTAAAGTCTTGAGTCGTTTTTGTAAGCAATTATATAGACTATATTACATATAGTGTAAATCGTATACGTAGTGCGTTTAATACGGAAATCAACACTGGATTACTTAAAATATCATTGTATCACACAGGACGTAAGGTAAGTACAATTTAATCTATGCTTTCGAACTTCCAACAATCTATTGCGTGATAAACCATTAATAATTAATGAGAGAAACAATTAATGAGAAAATTAATTTAAATAAAATTGAAGACAATTAAATCTACATTAAAATTACAAAAATTATAACAATTAATGATTACAATAATCTACTAAGCAAACCCCTAATTTCTTTTTATATTTAACCTACGCTTTCTTTCTTATTCATTTTTATACTCTAATTTTTCTTTTTCTCTTCTTTCTTTTTATTTTTGGTTTATTACAATTTAATATAGTTATGTTTATGATTTACCTGTCAAATGATCATGGTCTGCTACTTTATGATTTTTCTCTGTAAAACCACTTTTACACAAGTCACAGCAGGTTTTCTTTATATGCTCTTCAGTTTCTTCGTGTGTCATACAAATATCAACGTTCGTCTTGAGTAACTCTTTAATTTTCAACACCACTTCAGTTACGTCATCCATGAAACGATTGACTACTTCCTCCGGCTCACTGCTTTTATTTCCTCTGTATAGTTTGGGCGTCGTTTGAATATTATACTGTTGCAATAATTCTATGGGTTCACTGTCGGCTGCTTTTACTATGTATCCATAGCTCATTGCAACATATTCATGAACAAAATTTGTGTTGCCTTTCGTATCTTTGTTGGACTTGACCAGCAGGCTTTCAAAATCAGAATAAATTGCAAATGGAAGTTCCTGTGTTTTGCCCCATGACTCGAACTTTAATTTAGTGCCCTCTTCAGGCATTATAGGTAAGAACGGTTTGTTTTCGCCACAAATTTTTTTATGTTCTTCTAGCGCCTCAACTCCACGTAGTTTATACATTTTAGGTACATTATTAAAGCCCGTGAAACACCGATTACAAAATATCCTTTTTGCTGTATTCTTTGTTATTTGTGATTGTACCAATCGACCAAAATCGGAAATATAAGTGTAATGGCTGTCACCCGCGGCGTTTGACACAATTAACAAATCTATATGGTCTTTACGTTCTTCAGCGCACACTTTCAGCGGATAAACTAAATATTCGGGTTTATTATGTATATCTTTCAATTTTAGTCCGTAAACATTGACTGAAGTATGCGGATTATTTTTTTCGAAAATTTTTATGTCTGAAATCGGTGTTGGGAATGATAAACCGGAGAAATTATAAGAGTTTTCTATAGACTTATAGTTTTGTTCTACTATATGTATTTTACCCTCCGTAACTTTTTTCGCCAATATAGCCCATTTGAAACTTTGTTGATCTATATTTTGCGGGTTTATTACGCTTGATACCCGACTATATTTTCAATATACTTTTTGTAAAACCATAAAATTTGACTATTTAATGATTCACCCGTTTTATGAAAACCGCTCGTCGTAATGTCTAGTAATCGTTTCACCTTTAGCCGTTTACTTTTAATCGTATTGTCGGTGTTACATTGTTTGCGACGTTTAGGACTAATTGCACTGGGGCCTACCTGCATTCTCTCCACAACACTTACATTTTCTAAAAACAAATATTCATATATTAATTTTAGCATATCAATTTTTAATAATATATTTTCTTTACTTACCACTCATTGACATAGCCCTCGAATCAGCATGATTTCCAATAGCAATATTATAGTCCACACCATACTTTACGAGATCTAAAATATTACACTTATATTAACAGTCTACTAATATATTTTCTCTTTTCATATTACTATTTTACTAAATAATCAATTGTAATACTCACGATGAATTGTCTTAACATGACGCGAGAGTGCCCATTTATCCGAAAAAATAGATGGACATAAATAACACCTAAATCGTATACCATCATGACTCTTTAGATGACGTACCAGTCCATGTTTGAATGCAAACACTTTTTCACACTTGTCACAAGAAAACATTTTTAAGACGTTTAACTGTCACTATTAATTTTACTCGAGTAATAATCCGTCTTTTATGCGACAATATTCATTAAATGTAATAAAATCAATTATATATATATGAATCACAAAACATATATCCCCGTAAACTAACCTTTTCTTTCACCACATAAACATTTTTAACTTATAATTACTTATTAATTACAATTTAAAAAGTAATTTCTAAAAAGTGTTCATGTAGATGACGTGTGATATTTACTGTCATGAGAGAGCCCTCCACTCTTAACTTTTCATGTGAAGAGGGCCCTATGCCTTTCACCATATTCCCCCGGCTGTTTACACCGCCCGTCAACCTAGGACAGGGTAAATCCACATTAAGTGGGTGGGGGGGCTATGACTTTCACCATATTCCAACAACCGTTTACACCGCCCGTCAACCTAGGACAGGGTAAACCCACAACATGTGGGTTAGGGGGGGGTCCAAGTNTTTATTTCTTTTAATATAGAAAACATAAATATTTTAAAATTTATATAAAATAATAATATATTATTACCTGAATTTATTAGTTTATTAGAATTCAAGTAAAAGTAAAATAAAACGTAATTAAACAACACCATACATTTTTATCTATTTTTATTTCTAGAACAAATCAAAATAATACATTGTAGACAAAAAAAAATAATTCGAAAATATTAGCTTGGATAATAATATTAAGTTTTTAATTAAAAAATTTCTCTCAAAAACCTCCAACATTACTGTTAGCAATTGGTTTTAAAAACATAGAAAGTACAAAGTCAAGGTATGATCCGGTTGTCTGTTCGTTTTAGACAAACCGGTAACCTCATCTCATCTTGATCACTCTTCGATTACACACTAACTATGCTCAGGAGCGGTTGACTTATTAATTACCACTTGCCATTGTTTATTCAAGCTTTACTTTTCGATTAATTTTTATTTAGTTATCCCATTCATCTAGAGAAAAGTATTCCGATGACGTATCGGAGCTAGAACTGCTCGACATCATACTTGCCCGACGAAACATTGGAATACCTAATGGGTTCATTCTTTCAAAATCATTTTCGTTTATTTTTGGATTTTCTATTACTGAAACTACTGGCTTCACCGGCTATAAAATATTATACTAAGATTGTATATATTTTTAAATATTTTATTTTGACTACTTGATAATTTAAAAAAAAAGATACCCGGAAAATAAATGGATATTAGAGACAAAAAATTAATCTAATGAACACATACAATATTAAACTAAAATGCATAATTCATTTGAAAATATATGTATATTAATACTTCATATTATTATGAATTGTTTAGAATGCGATTCATTAATATTCATTTCATATTCCCTTCATAAGTATGACAAAAAGTTAAAAAACGTAAAAAAATTCATTACAAAAAAAATTATATTTTTTTATAAATTTTATCTGAAGTATTTGATTTGTAATTAAAAATCTTAATTTTTATGAAGCATTGAAAATGCGATTCATTAATATATGACCCACTTCATAAGTATGATATAAAAAAAAATTGAATTATAATCATTAAAATACTATATCGATTTTAGACATTTATTTTGCTTACATTAAGTAATAATATAAAACTTGAACGATACTCTATTGTTAATTGTTAAAGAGGTTTACCTTCAATTTTACGCCGCGTTTGATTTCCTCTATAAAATTTTTTGGTAGAGCTGCTGTTCTATAAACCTTACCTTTGCTTTTTACATTGTTTTCTGATTTTAGTGGCATTAGTAGAGTATGAGGAGGTGGTGAAGGAATGATATCTGGAAAATATTCATATTTAGATAACATAAACAGTGACTTTTTATGTATATATACAAGTACTATCAAAAAGGTTCATTCTTCGAAGATTTTTGTCATCTATAATTGATTTTTCTAATACTTTAACCATTGGACTTACCGGCTATATAAAATTAAAAAATCAAACACATATACTAACTGTTATAATTAATATACTCATTTTAACATTTAATATATTGAGGTAATTGTTTTGCTTACATAAAGCTATAATATATAATTTGCACTATACTCAATTATTAATTATTAAAAATTTTACCTTCAATTTCACGCCGCGTTTGATTTCCTCTATAAGATTTTTTGGTAGACCTGCTGGTCTATCAACCTTACCTTTGCTTTTAATATTATTTTCTGATTTTAGTGGCATTTGTAGAGTATGAGGAGGTGGTGAAGGAATGATATCTGGAAAATATTCATATTTAGATAACATAAACAGTGACTTTTTATGTATATATACAAGTACTATCAAAAAGGTTCATTCTTCGAAGATTTTTGTCATCTATAATTGATTTTTCTAATACTTTAACCATTGGACTTACCGGCTATATAAAATTAAAAAATCAAACACATATACTAACTGTTATAATTAATATACTCATTTTAACATTTAATATATTGAGGTAATTGTTTTGCTTACATAAAGCTATAATATATAATTTGCACTATACTCAATTATTAATTATTAAAAATTTTACCTTCAATTTCACGCCGCGTTTGATTTCCTCTATAAGATTTTTTGGTAGACCTGCTGGTCTATAAACCTTACCTTTGTTTTTAATATTATTTTCTGTTTTTTGTAGAGTTGGTAGAGTTTGGGGAAGTGGTGGAGCAGAAGGAATAAAATCTAAAAAATTTACATATTTATATTGTATTTAAATTTATATAATTTTTTTGCTGTTTTTTTCTATTAAATTTAAAAATATAGAGTTACCATTATTTTGCTGTATATCCATTAACTCGGTTAATGTTTTGTTTATATTTATTTCGTCCGTCTTGCGTTTTTCTTGACCATCATTATTTTTTATCAAGTAATCGGAAGATTCCATTAAATATTTCTGAACAATTTCCTGAACGATTTCGGACATTAATTCTTCAATGTGATCTATTAAAGTAAATTTTGGTAAAATTATGGAAACTTTAAGAAAAAAATAAGTTGTGTAGTCGGAGTACACTTCCTTATTTTTTAAACTAACTCATATATTTTTATAGAATAATAATTTAAAATATAAATATCTACTTCGAATAATGATTTCTAATTTTGAGTCATTTAAAATTTCGCGTTTTATTGACTCCTTCAAATCTGTTATTATGGCAGCCATAGTTTCTTTTCCATTGTCGCGTTTTACGGGTACGCTACCATTTTTTAAAATACATTGTTTTGAATGAATCAATTCTANGGTACGCTACCATTTTTTAAAATACATTGTCTTGAATGAATAAATTCTGACGTTAAATCTTGAATTTTGTCTATAAAATGAAATATAGTTATAAACTATAGACTTTTTTAAGGGGTTTTCTGTAATTATATGTGTGAATAAAGTTTTGTTTTTGAAAATCAAGCTTTTTAGATTGCGTGTGAATTGTATAAGTAAATTTAATATAGTAATATGCTTACTTTTTGTAAGTATAATTTTAAATTACTGATTTACCTCCTTTTTTCTGTAGAACCTTGTGTTTTCTCCCACCATCGTGTTTTTCTGATACATTTCTTTTTTTTAGAAAACTCTTGAAATGTTTTCTTGAATTGATAGACTCTGCATTAAAATCTTGAAGCTCATCTATGTAA